TAATGTGGTCATAATGTTAACAATTGAATCGTATGGCATAAGATCTTGACTTAATTTATTATCTATAACCATCCAAAAAAGCTGATTTTCTGATACATGTGGTTTATGATAATCAGATGCAGATGAATGACATGAATTTTCATATTATACAATTTAAAACAGACTTTTGTGTATTACCTCTGTTCACATAATCCATTTTAAGCAACCTTCCACGAAATAGGTAGAATGCTGTTTATAAGCATTTAAATCCACTAGATAATGCATAATGGAGTTGAATTTCCATGTGATTGCTTCATCATTGATTTGAATGGGATATATCAAGGTTTAGATACCTCTGAATGTTCTGTTTCCTCATGGCTCTAGGGGGGAAAAAATACACACACACACAAAATCTCAGAAACCTTTTTATGGTCCTGCTTGAACAAGCAATAACACAAATTGCCAATAACGTTGCGCGTATCGAACCTGAGCTAGATCCTGATCGTCTATATCCCATTTCTCAATTGCTTGAAGAAAATAACTGGTAGCTGCTAGGTAGAACTTTTATCTCAGCATAACAGCACCAAGCTCAAAATACTCAGTTTATGTTGCATCACCACTTTGTACTTGCTCCTACAGATCATTAAATAAAAAATACAAGAGAACCAATACAGAATTTGCTGAATGAGTAATGAACAGAAAGTACTCCAAGTACAAAAGTGACATTCTTAGCAAGAATTAACAGATGCTTTCCATACTTGAGAAGAAGACAAGAATCTGTGGAAGAAACAATACCAGACAAGGTGTTCGACTGACAAAACAGTTAAAATCCCACAACTTGTCGTCTAGTTGTATAATGTTTAACTTTTACATCAATGCAAGAATTGAAATGCACTTGTGTTTCCCTAGTTGTAGAAAGATAAAATGCTCAAGTTTCTTAGTAGGAAGAAGAAACTCATTACATATATTTAGGGCCATACAATTTGCCTCGTAGTAGAAAGCTGAAATGCTTTTCAAGTAGGAAGAACTTTCTAGAGATGTTTAAAGCCTTTTTACTAGCAAAAAACCATTTTAAATTGTCTATTTTGAAGCTGGATGCTGAAAATCTATGTCTCTTATAACTTAAAAAGGACCTAATCAATAGCCTAATTCAAAATTAAACACCCACTTATCTCCTAAAATGTATCTTACCTCTTGCATAGTTATCCACATTGTCGAAAAAATAATCAGACCTCTATCGATTACCAACCATCGAAATTCTAAATAGAAAGAAAAAACAAAAGGATAACCATATGACCATAAAAGTACTCTTAAAACTCACAATATAGTCAAATCCCAGCATACACTTACTGGTCTATTGGAAATCCCTAACAGAATATGTGTCATTTATGCATAATTGCTTGTTGATGGATCAATAGACAGCAAAATTCAAAGGATCAAGACCAATTTCAAGATCACCAATGAAATTTTATTCAGGATGAATTGGTTGGCTTGATTGACTAGTGTCATGAGAATGTTCTTTGGTAAAAAAATTTGATAATAAAAATATATAAGATCAGGAACAGAACTCATCTAGCCTGATGTGTTCTATAAAGTTCACCGAATAAGTAAGAATACATTACTTTATTACAATAAGGTAATTATCAAAACAGCACTAAACAATTTGCAAACTTTTTATCAAATGTCATACATAAGCATCAAAATTCCCACTGTAACTTTCAAAATATGTATCTTGTATTCATAGGGTACTTCCATAGTGTATTTTACTAAATGTGGGGCCCCACATGACTTCATAAAGGGTTGTCTACTTATGTCATATAGACAGACTCGGGTATCATTTTCCTGTGCATGAAGATAGAGAAGGGTAAACCAGGTGAAAAGAACAAGAGGAGAATATTATAGTATCGTAAGAATCTACAGGTAGAAGATAAAAGGTTCAGCTTTTTTATACTATTTTCTTTCAGTTCTGTTGCAGTAACCTTTCTTCACCCTCCTTGTCTTCCAGTGGTTGCAGAATTCATTCCATGGTGTTTCATCGGCCTCTAGATTACTAAAGGTGCATCCATTCATGAGTATATCTAAAATCAGATTTTTATATCATAACTACAGACTTACAATGATGTATCTCCAAGTGAAACCAGGATAATCATGTTATTATATTTTACACTAACAACAAGCATTTATGTTCACTATGTTGTTGTAACTTGAATGAATCAAATGCAGAAGCAGCAACATTTATTCCAGAGCCATTATTTGAAGAATTTAAGATGAAAGAACATTCAGCATGGCAAATAAGCCTAAGGACAACAGAAGGCAAGGCCTGTGAACCAAGTTCTAGTCAAACCTGATGTATACATGCAGCAAGCCTTGGGCTGGCAGTGTGGATCACCAGCCAAAAGAAACCGCATCAGCAGCACCCGCAAAGCTTGACCATGGGTGTTGGCATTGTTGAGGCTTACTAAGAGTAAAAGGTCAAGGTCTAAGGTTTGAAATCAATTATATTAAAAACTCAAAAAACATAACTAGAAGTTCCGATAACCAAATAACAGGTATAACGAGCAATTACATGAGACAGGATAAACCATCTTGAAAACATGATTCTGAGAAACACAATATTCAAGAGTCAGGTTCGGATCGTTGCTTTTCCATCTGAAAACCGAGAAATACAATATAGTACAAATGACGGAAAACTTACCCTTTCCACTCTTCAAGACTAGGGTCTGGATTGTTGCTTCACCATCTGAAATCTGCCTTGTTCCGCATGGAACAGATAAGAAGAAAAAGAAGAGAGAGGAAAAAGAAGAAAGGCAACTTCAACTCATGCTAATCACTATACGTATTATGAACAGGGAAAGTCAAGAAAGAATTTCAAGCAATAGGATCCTCACCTTGCAGAAATAATTATATAATAAATGTCTATCAACCCTGATTTTCAAAGTAAAGATTAAAGCTACCATAGTAAACTTAGAGTTTCACCTACTATTTCTGATGAAAGTTGAGATTGAGCAGCTGGCCCACCCGTCATGCACACATGATCAGACAAGAAGACAGGAAAACATTTAATAGCATTTCTTTATAACAATGGGTTTTTCTTTGAACATATAATGGAAGAGTTTCAAGAGAGAATCATTTTAGACTTCCATATATTAACATACTTAGTCAAGACTTATGTTTGCCTCCAAAAAGTCATAGGCACATAGCAATAAGAAAAGGTTAACCACAAAATAAATGTAATGTGTTATGCCTTAGAAGGTTGTTAGTCAACTAGATCTTTTAAATGCCAAACGATGATTTTTTGCTCAGTAACTAAAATTGCTCCATGAGATTTGGATGGGACCTGTATCAAAGTTTTTGAATCATCGAGAAAGAGAAAAGATATAATTGGACTAGTGGCAGGAAGATGATTTTATTTAGATTATATGATAATCCAACATGAATTAACATTTTAAGGATGCAATTTACTGACAATAAGTTCATATCAAGGATGTATTCTATTGATGAGGTTCATACAGAAAAGAATTGAAACTATAAAGGATGAGCCAACTACTAGTTGGAAGATTCCATTTCAGAACCAGCCTTAAAACTATAAAATCAAAGACAATTTATATCTGACTCACAGATGTGCAGGTATCAGAAAATGATTGGAAAGGGTCAATCAAGGAGGGAAGAAGACAATGTCATTATTCTAACAAAATTTCATATGCAACTGTAAATACTGCACAACAATTCAGAATAAAGAAAGGCACTCAGTGCTCACTCAAAACTTCTGATATCTCTCTCCACTTTAATCGTCTAGCTTTTTCTCTATAAATAATATCTTCACTAAGCTATCAATCTTATTAAAATATAGATTTAAAATATCTAAAATTTATACTATAAAGATTTTTCTACATTTTTACTTTATGAATAATATCTTCATCAAGCTTTCCATCTCACTAAATAATAGATTCTAGAGACCTGAAATTACTTACAAAAACTTATTATACTTTCATCCTAACTCATCATCGGTTCTTCTCATGTTATTTCTAAAATTACATAACCTATGGTGTTGTTTCAATTAGAACAGTTCCAAATAACTAGAAGCAGAATCTTATCTTTTTACCCACTTCATCAGTACAATTTAACGTATGATCCTAAAATGCCTCTGGATTTTATAAACTCTGCAGTGATCTAATAAACCATACAGTTCATCATAGAGAGCAAAAAGTGTCTGCAAACCGATGAATGGCTAAAGCAGCTCGACAGTCAACTTGCCATCACCATATTATATACCACAAGCGGACACTGTACGTCAAAGTGACCAAGAATCACAAACTACAATACGACAAGATCAAAGAACAAATTACAGGGTGCCTCAACCGATCAAACCGAAAAATCTTGATGTTGGAGGCGGAAGCAAGAATCACCGACAAATATGGACGATCGGTAACAAAACGCAAAAGAAACAGAAATTTTATCGGTCTTCGTTATTTATACCTCTTGTCTCCGCTTGAGCGCGAAGCAGCAGCGCTGTCTCAATCTCCCCCGAACTGCGACGAAGTTCCTCCCATCCAGGAAGCCGACGCCGACGGCAGCAAGAAGCAGGCGGGGTCGAGAGCTTAGATTGAGGACTTCCGCCCCCGTGTTCGGGAGAGTCCCCATCGATCCGTGGATGAAGAAGCCCCTCCCCGACCTCTTCTCTCGGATAAAAGCAGGGAAAGAAAGAGGAGGGAAACTACCGAGAAAGAAATGGTGTCCGGTTTACGTGAACCGGCCGGTCCGGGAAATCGATGAACGAGCGGCTCGACCGGGTTTTAAAGAGTCATTTAGGTATTTTATATTAAGAGTATTATTTAAAGAAATAAAATGAGGGATACGAAATACTCAAAATATGAATATTTTTTTAAAAAATACCTGCAATATATATATATATATATTATTAAAAGGATATATGTTGAACTTTAAATTAATAAATGTTAATTACAAACGTTGAGTTAAGAGAGAACCAACAGAAAGAGGAAACGCGAGTGACAGCGGGAAACGGGAATGGGGTCCGATGGAGAGCGAACGTGGATAAGGGGCGCGAGCGGCCGAAGGCATCAAATAAGCTAAGCGAGAAGGGGCGAGGGAAGTGCGCGGTCATGGCACTCAAACCGAGCCTCGATGCCTACGCCGCGTTCATCCACAGGCTCCACCTCCGCCCTCCGCCTCCCCGCTCCCCCGACCTACCCCCTCCCCCTCTCCACGGCCTCACCTTTGCCGTCAAAGACATGCACGTCCTCCTCCTCGTCCTCACTTCTCCCCTTCTTCTTACTCCTGACCATTATCCCCATTGATTTCTGTGACAGTTCGTTCCTGCTATCTCGACTGCAGATTCGACATCAGTGGCTGCGTCACCGGGTTCGGCAACCCGGACTGGGCGAGGACGCACGAGGCAGCGTCGTCCACATCTCCCGTTGTTCTCGCTGCTATCGGAGCTGGAGCCACATGCGTGGGCAAAACTGTCATGGACGAGATGGCATACAGGTTGTGTCCATACATCATATGATATATTTGGTCTCCTGGCTAGTTGCAGAGAGTAAAGTCGTCTGTTTTCCTCATCATGATTGGAATATTGTTAATGACATTGTAATTGTGAACATTTTGCCTCATCATGATTGGAATGCACCAAAAATCTGATTTTTTTTTTTGTTCCTTTGTAGCATCAATGGTGAGAACTATCATTATGGCACACCCACTAATCCGTGTGCTCCTGATCGAGTCCCTGGAGGATCGTCCAGTGGATCTGCTGTAGCAGTTGCTGCAAATCTCGCTGACTTTGCTCTAGGTTTACAGCCGACAATTTCTTGAAGTTTACTTATTTTTTGTGTTCAAGTTGTATGTATGGCTATAGTTTTTATTTTTAACATCTTAAAAAATTTGTGTTATACTGTTTACATTTATATATGAAAGTACCTAAAAGAAACCATATGATAGATTGGGGAAACACCGGAATGCAATTTGGAACAAGCAACTTCTATGTCATGGAATTTAGAGAAGAGACATTGGCCAAACATTTCATCATAGAAAACCTGAACAAGGGTTGACAAACAATATTGTAATGAAGCATAAAATGGAAAAGTCATTATTGCAACTAAAAAAGATCTAAAATAAAATAATGAATAAAAACCATATTCCAGGAATGAAATAACCAAGGATTAAATTGTAATGAATACTAAGAAGTGCCTGTCAACAAACAGAGCATATTTGTTTGTCATGAGATGGTCTTCATTAGTTGTTGGCAAATTAGAAAATAGAAGGTTAACCTTGCAGGAACCCATTCTGTTAGTCTTATGTTCTGCTTGCATTAGTTTGAGTCCATACTGGACAATCCTTCTTGATACAAGTGTATCCTGTAAACATGTTGTGTGCTAACCAGTACGGTGGCATGATGCTGCCCAACAATTTTTTGAAGACTGTGAGATTTGGTCATTTGTCAAAGATTTCCTCAAAGCATCATGTGATTGTAAACAGACATGATTTGCAAAATCTCTTGAAATATATTGACATCAACAGGACTATATTTTTATCCATGTTGCTTTTACAGTTCTTGTTGTCAATTAATTATATATAGTTGGAGTAAAAATGCTTTTAAATTGGTAAGTGAGTTGTATTTCGATTTCATAACCATGTTTTCTGCTATCAGTAAGACAATATAAAGGATGCCTTGGTCATCATCTACTGTGGTTAAAAGGAGGCTAACAACTTGCTGCATTGTAGTATTTGCATCCAACATATTTGCTAGTTCAATAGGATTAGCTTCCAACTACGTTTCAGTAGCTACATGATCAATATGTGTTCCAATTCATGGCTGGTGTCAGTGAACATGTGCAAGGACAAAACATTTCAATGTACTTGCATATACACCTTGATGCAGTACAACTTAAATAGACCTGACCTCTTATGCAACATCTGAGTTGATATTTGGTAAAAAAACATGAGTTGTTATTTTAGTATCAGTATTGCATTGATGTTTGTCCTTCTGAATCTTCAATCGTTGTTGATGATTCTTTAGGTACGGATACTGGTGGAAGTGTTAGAGTGCCTGCTGCTTACTGTGGAATTTTTGGTTTCCGGCCTTCACATGGCATTATATCTGCAACAGGTGTCATTCCAATGGCTCAGAGCTTTGACACTGTTGGTAAGGAGCAAATAAATTTCCAAAAGATGGCCAGCTTATATAGTCTTTTAGAATGCAGCATTTGCAATATTACATTTAAATGATTCATGGCACTTTGGTGAAATATTGAGAACATATAAGTATTACTCAAAAGGGTGCTAATATTTGAGTGTATTTGTTATTCTTCTACATAATCATTTTGAAGTTGCTAGAGCATCAATGTATCACCTGTTTGTAGAATGAATCTGAGTAAAATTCAACAAAAGGCTGTAATGTGATACTTTATATCGAGTTAACTGTTGAACTCATTGATGATATGATCGATTTTTATGTTCATATATAATTGGATGATCCAATCCGTTTGAAGTTATATCTTTAATGATCAAAGTAAATCTGCATAAATAATTCCAGGAATGATTTCTTTGCATGTGCAGTCATGTTTGGGTACAACTGAAACCCTCTATGCTTGACAGTGGGGGGGAGCTTATTTATTAGGATGTCTGTGTTATACATATAACAAACAATCAACCAATCCAAAATTTGTAGTGTGTCAATGGTGACTTGAATATGTACATTATGGAGTGAAATCCCATATTTGAATGTAGTGGACAAACATGTATGCTAGGTTTGAAGTAATTATAGATTGCAAACTACAAAAACTACAAAGCTTTTGTATGTCCTAAAAAGAACAGGACCTGAACAATGTACTGAAATCCCAATTACATTTGTCAAATTCAAGTTGACTGATAACAAGACCAACTTGTTCAATGTAAATTTGTTTAAGATCTTGCATTGAAGTTAATCAGATGCATATCAAGGGTATATATATCTGGCAACAGATCAAATTTTCAGTATTGACCGTTTTGAGGGGGTTAACTTGCAAGTCACATCTGTATAGATAAAAGATTTTAGGAGGTATACAGAAGGCATTACTTTTAAACATGAACATTGCCAAACGTATATTTCAATTTAATTATGAAAGAAACAGCCAACAAGAGATCTGTGACCTTTTTCCTCATTCTCACAATCTGTCAACTATTTTTTTATTAGATTAGTGGGACAGGAACATGTAGATCAAGAAATTATTAATATCATACAAAATAACATGAGTTAGAGTTCATAATGCTGCGATGCAGTGGGATGAATGAATACAATTAATCTTCAGAGGAAGTTTACTTGGTTCATAGAGTTATTTTATCTTATGTTCTTATCCATCTAATTTTGAAATTATTTATTGTAGTTGACAAAGTCTTCTTTTAGGATGGTTTGCTAGAGACCCTATTACCTTGACACGAGTAGGCCAGGTTCTGTTGCAGTCATCTAGTGATGCTACCATGCCACCCAAGCGTTTTGTTATTCCTGAAGATTGCTTCCAGTATTTGAGTTCTCCCAGTGACCAAATCTCTCAAATCCTGAAAAAGTCTGTAGAGGAGGTATTTGGATGTAAGTGCTTTCTCTTACTAAGTTGATTTCAACACTCATCACCTCTGAGAAGATACATTATCCTTTTCTCTTTTGTTATTATGTTTCTCATGTAAAATTATAAAATTATACAGGTAGTATATTACACCATGAAAATCTTGGCGACCATATTTACCACAATGTTCCAAGCTTGCAAAACTTTATAAGTAGCTTCTCCGGAGATCAAGCATCTACAATGCCAGTTCTTGCAGCTCTCTCACATGCCATGCGGTTGCTTCAAAGGTCCAACTCTATGATTTACATTGTTGTATAGTCCAGATATATGTCTATATATGACATCTAAATTATCATTCCTTAATGCTCATATTTTGGCACTGGTGGAACAGTAAGTTTTTTCTTTTGTTTGTTCTCATTGCTGAAACATTAACGTTGCACCATTGCAAGACTGATTGGCTTGAATAGCCAAAATCAGTGTTTCACAGTGGAGACAAAATTTGTTACATCTGAATCTCCGTAGACACTTCAGTTGCAAGGAAACTTGTGCACCTAACTACTCTTTACTTTGACCTACAGGACTGACAAGATAAGGACCTTTTTTTTATGGAAATCCTGGTGAAAAGTTCCAGTGTTCATAAAATCTTTATTGAACATTAAAAGGCAAAAGAGTATCATGAAACGGAATTTATCGCGAAATTTAGATTAACAATGAAGAAACTGAATTTTCATTTCTTGATTTCTGATATTATAGTAATTTATGCATTTTTCTTTGGAAAATTAATTAATTTTGGGATATCATTCACAAAAAAAATTTAACATAGTTTGACCACAGCCTACTTCACAAGAATTTTCACTATATGAAACACTTCAAAAAGATATTTTTTCTCAAATATCTTTTCTCTACCCATTATATAGTTGTACTTCGCATGCATCTCACTGTCCATGGCACCACAGAACTTCCACATCCACTAATGAAGCACACCTCTAAGCAAAGCACTCTAGCACTCACCAGTTGCCCCAGGAAATTCTGTGCACCCCTCCATGCACTGCACTCACCTCACACTACAGCAGGCACTTAAGCATCTCTCAAAACACACCTATGTAGATGCACTATTGTCTCAAATCCTACTCTTAATTCTATTTGAGTTCAAGAATATACAAAAGAAATTAATTCCTTGATCAAATTGGTCTACAGCTCCTATTCTGAGTCCATATGGTACTTTAAAGCTACTAATCCCAACAATCATATAGAATTATAATTGAATTCTATTATATTTTAGTTGCCTAGGTTGGTCTCTGTGTTATTTTCTTCTGAAACAATGCATATCCTGAATAAATGATAATGAACCAAGCAAAAGGTTTTAGTCATGGAAATGAAACAACCTGAGGAGTGGCTTATGTGACACAAATCATAGGAAAACCTAGTCTTCTTATGGTACCAGATGAAAAACAGAATGGTATAACTTATGCTTTTAATCCAATCAATATCGTATTGTTTTATTCATGAATAATAAATGAACAATTACACTTGCAAATGCATAACTAAGACACCTTTTCTTCTTATGAGTTATTTTTTCTAATATTGTATCGGAATATCAAATCACATCATAATGATTTTGTATTATTTTATTTTCTCTTGTTGTTGAAAGTAGACTAGAAGTAGGGAGTCTGTGATGGCTGATTAAATTATTAACCTGTTATACTTTTCGACTATACTACACATGGACTTTGAGGATTATGAGTTACTTTTAAACATTGACAAAATGTTTAAAGATTTAGTTGAATTGGATAAACATATTCTTTGTTTAAAGTGCAAGTTGGAATGACAAGTTTACTGGTTTTCTGATCACCATAATGGTAGGAGCCTGACGTGTTCAGTTGCACTTTTCTCTCATTCTTCAGAAGCAACACATTCTAGTTCCTTCCATGTGGTAGTTGCAGCTAAATCATTCTTGTTGTAGAATCAATCACATAGAAAATGGTCAGGGTCTGTGCATTTAGTAGAGTAGGCAAAAGATGCTTTTAAAGCAAATTGTCATAACATGGAAATGAAATTAATCTGGTTTGTCTAGCGGAAAGAATTATTGCAGCATTCAACATCTCTTCCCAGCATGCTATTCTTATTTGTAAATTCTGATGGGTGAACTTTTTTCTTTAACCAAGAGTGAAGGCAATGTTAAAAAGTGATTGTAGGTATTCCTTCTTTGAGCTAGGCATATAAAATTATTGCAACATTCATCATCAAGCAATCTGTAGATCGGCCAGCAAAATCTCATGCATCGCACGAGTTCTAAGCATACAAGTGATGGGAATAGTTATGAAAATCCAAAGCAATCCATGATATAAATGAAGTGCATTATACTAATGCTTGGAAATTAAGTTAGGTTTTATCAAATGAAATTTCTCTATAAAGTTTTATGCAAATTTAATTGACATTCAGATGGATATTTGTTTGTGGAATTGTCAATAAACTTATGTTTTTAAAAATAATGATATCACCGAACCTCTATTCTCCATGCTGCAATCCTATTGCATGCTGTTGACATGTTCTTTGTAACCTATCACCAAGGCAACAGAATATGTATTGAGGCTGTATTGGTTATCTTAACAGGATTTGTGGGACAACTAATAGTTGCACATCTAGTACATTCTTTTGACATGTACACATTATCACCCATGGATTGCATGATGCACGACTATGTTGTCTCATTATTATAATAAGAAGAAAGGTTGCAATAATTTTGTGAACAAGTTAACACATAAAAAAAGCATATCCTACAAATACAATTTATCCATTAAAAAGAACACATCTGATGAACTCCTATAACATTGCTGGGAAAAAGCAATTTCACATTCATGCATCCTTTGGATTTTTGGTCTATTAACATGTAAGCGAGTTACTTTTTTATGTTCTAGGACAATACTTACTGATGAGATGAAGGCAGTCTATAGTGAAAACTGTCCTTTTTCTTGGCTCTCTTTTCTAATTGGCAATATTGATTGATAATTAAAGTTGCATCTATGATGATCATTGTTGAGTGTTTGTATAATGAGGAATTTGTGCATCCTTCTACCTTTCTGTCTGAATTTTTTTGTCTTTAGAGCATCAAGATTATCCTCACAATTTATCACTTAGTGTTTAACTTTCCTTTTGTAGGTTCGAGTTTAAAACCAATCATGGAGATTGGTTGATTTCCACAAAACCTACTCTAGGTCCTGGAATGTTTGAAAGAGTATCAGAAGTTCTAAATTCAACATATGAGGACTTGGAGTACTGTTATCCAGTGAGGGCTGAGCTTCAAGCATTCCTGTCTACTCTTTTGCAGGTAGCCTGATTTTCTATATAATACTTTTTCTTTCTTTCATATTGCACATTCTTTTTGTATACTAAAAGAAGGCAAATGATATATGACATTTTTAGTCTTCTTCACCTTAACTAAATTACAAGGGCTTTCCCACTGAAAAAGATCTCTGATCATCCATGTTTTTTTGTAAATAACTCAAGGGCTTTAGTTTTGGTCTTTTGATAATTTGATGGATTTCTACCAAGGTGGTGTGTTTATTATGTTCTATGAAGTTCCATGAACAGGAGCACCACAAACATATATTGGGGAACTGACTGAAACAAAACACCACATGGTAAGACTATATGTTGGGTGTAACTTTGAGCTCAGATACATGGATGGAAGGAAAGCAAGGTGTTCTACAGAAACAAGGTTGGGATGATTTGTCATTGTCTGTGATGGAATCAAGTCCAAAGGAGAAGCATATACCAAGAATAACATGTGTAATTTATATTTGAATACTCTCTGCTTTTAAATACAACTCAGCCTTCTAACCTCCAACAATGTCTAGATGCCCTTTATATATGACCCTGTATTTGTTAAGAGAAATGGAAAAAATATTGAGAAGCAAAGAACCCTCTTGGTTGGTCATTTATAAACCAATGTGGAAGTATGGAACAATGTTTAGTTTTTTTTATTTTGTTAATAATCCATTTGAAAATAAGCCATTAGAGTAACCCTCAATAATCATTCTATTGTAATTCCTATTTCTTTTCAGTTTAAGGCTTGTCTAGTGGATTCAGAAACCAAGAAATTCATGCAAATTTTTAATGTCATTCTCTTTAGGAACTATGGCTAGTCCAAATTATCAGCATTACTTCTTAGAACTATCTCCTTTTCAACTCTAGAATTTTATATTTCATGAACTAAGGGTGTGGATGAAACTTCATGTGGAGATGGAAGCTGCTTACCATTCTAGTTACCTTCCATTTCTTTTCAGTTCAAGGCTTGTCTAGTGGATTTGGAAACCAAGAAACTCATGCACATTATTAGCATCACACTTTCAGGAAGTATCAGTAGAGCAAATTATTAGCATTACTTCTTGGGAACACCTACATTTTAATTGTAGAATCTTTTATTCAATGACTAAGGATATGGATCAAACTTCATGTGGAGATGGAAGCTGCTTACCATTCTGGTGACTTTCTGTTTCTTTTCAGTTTAAGGCTTGTCTAGCGGATTTGGAAACCAAGTAAAACATGCAAATTATTAACATCAATCTTTTAAGGAGTATCACTAGTGCAAAGTATTAGCATTACTTCTTAGCAACATCTCCTTTTTGACTACGGAATCTTTTATTTCATGAATTAAGGATATGAATCAAACTTCATGTGGAGATGGAAGCTGCTTGCCATTCTGGTGACTTTTAGTAAACCCTTGTGTTTATTTGTGATGATTCTTTCTTTCACAATGAAAGAACATTAGGAAATTTTTCTTCTTTCATTTTTAATTTGAAAATTCATTTAAGCTGGAAGCTCCATATCCTCTCTTCTTATTTTTGAAAAGGTACCCTCTACTTGTAAACAAATACTGTCCTACTTTCTCAAATACTACTATTTCTTTTTGTGTTTTCCTGTCTTCTTTTTTAGGATAATGGAATTCTTGCACTGCCTACAATTCCTGGAGTCCCACCAAAGCTAAATATGGAGGTCGATGAACTGGATAGCTTTCGTGCTAGAGCATTTTCCTTGCTTTCTATTGCTGGCATGTCCGGATTTTGTCAGGTAACTCATTGTGCATGCCATCAATATTTTCACACTATCATGCCACTCATGAGTACATGATAACCTTACATGCAAGTTTGTATCACGATCGCAGATTTCTATACCACTTGGAATGCATGATGATCTTCCTGTCTCGGTTTCCCTTCTAGCAAAGCATAATGCAGACCATTTTCTTCTTGATATTGTTCAAACACTTTATGCTACCCTCAAGGAGCAAGCTAGCATAGCTTGGGAACATGGTAATTGACTCAAGTGTCTGTTTGTACAAGTTAACGCCGTAATTTTATCTCGATTTTTCATATGTACATGCTCTTTGGAAATCAATGGGCTAATGCAGAGTTTCTACAAAGTAATTGGCCAACCTGCTCTCCAAGAGCTTTGGATTAAGTTATTGTACCCTTCGACTGTGATCATGTTAGGTACTTTTGATGCAATGGTGCTGATTTCCTTCTCTGTTTATTAATTGGAATATTATTACAGATGGATCAGAGTTTATTACCCTCATTTGCATGAAAGTTTATGGAGATCAGAGTAAAAATAGCCAAATTGTTTTGTGAAGATGCAAAGGATTATGTTCTGATTGAACTGGTGTTTCCTTTTAATAGCTACAGGAGCTAAACCCATTTTAACTTTACCTGCAATTAATTTCTCGACATGCGTTTTAACATCGAAATGAGTTGTACTTTAGCATATCATTCATAACTGGTCAAATAAAATCTAGCTATTCCCAACAGAAGAATATAAAAGTTTATCTTCTTGTTTGTAGCTCATCGAACCAAATGTTTGGTATATGTGAAGAGGTAGATTTTTGTTCTTCCCAGAGAGACGTAATTTGATGATGATTTCCCATTAAGAATTTATATTCTTGTTTGTACTCATTGAACCAAATGTTTGGTACATGTAAAGAGGTATATTTTTGTTCTTCTCAGAGATGCATGATTTGATGATGATTTCTACTGAAGAGTTTTAGTTAAATTATATTGGATTAAAGAGGACAGACTGCATTGACTCAAACCAGAAGACTAAATTGAGTCGAACGCGAGCGAGAGATAGAGAGAGAATAAATGAAATTATCCTAAAATTCTTAATTCTTTATCTGCGCGTAATACGCGAATACGTGTCAGGATAGATTTGTCAGATACGGATCGGATCCGAATTGAGTGCGAGTTCGAAAAAGTCGACGAAACGGATCCGAACCGAACCCGTCTGTTTGTCGAACGGCTTCAAAGCACGCACCGGGCGTTCGCCAAACGGCCCAAACGCGTTGGTGTTTTCTTGAGGTCATTCGACCTCGCAAAGCAGCCCTCCTTCGCCGCACGCGGCCCGGAGCTGCTCGCCCCATCCTTCTCCTTTCCCTTTTCCACCTTGTCCTGCTCTCCACTTCCCATGACCAAAAGGCGGCTTGCGTCCCCCTTCCTACCACCACTCTGCGCTCTGCTGCCGCATGCACTGTGCTGAGAGCGGCGACCGCCTTCGAAGGGCTACGACAGTCGCGGCGACGGCGGCGGCGACTACGACGAAGATGATGATCCCGGCGTCGGATTCTGGCGGCGCCTCCGCCGGCGAAGAGGACCCTTCGCTCGCGAAGCGCGTCGCCGACCGCTACTTGAAGCGCGAGGTGCTCGGTGAGGGCACCTATGGTATCGTCTTTAAGGCCATCGACACAAAGGCAAGTCGGCCGATAAATTTGCTTTCTGATTTGGATCGTTAACCCACCCGTTGATGGAAGTTTAGGCATAGTGCATGGGATCTGTTGGATTAGGGTTTAAAGTTGATGTCAGATGCGATTTAGGGGCAAAAGAGAATCTTACGCTGACGGGAATCTCTCCACTTCTAGTTTATTTCTCCTCTCCTCATAGCTCAGATATTGCAGGTGACTTCGTTTAAAATAAAAGCCCGATATTGGCTGCCCAATTGTTCCATTTTGCTGTTTCTGCGCGTGTTTTATGTGTTTGTTGTTTTGATTAAGAAGAAATGAAGTGAATCTGACTTCACAATTCATATTGGGAACAACTATGACTTTAGTTTCTATATTATATTAGATTTACCGTTTTATCCCTTTGTTTCACTTGATCACTTGAGTTGGGTCAATCTTGCACTCCGAAATGAGAATAGGGACGGTGGGCACAACCTGAGTTTAGTAAGTGCAAGAAAGAATTTTATTTCTATTTCTAAATAAATAACTGCAAGTGTTGAGAGTTTCCTTTCTCTTTTTCTTCAGAAAATGTGGGCCATTGAATGAAAATCTCTGTGGTAGTTGGTTTGTTTCCCAATGTTGAAATTAAGTTGGAATTGCAATTACCTAATCCTTTTACAGTTTTGGCTCATAACTCCGGAATCAGAATTGAGATTTGATTAGCGTTACTTTTGTCATTAGAGCTATGTTTAAATGGGGGGCTAGTTTGCTACGTGAATAGGGACGTTTGTGTCACTGAAAACTGACCAGTTCCTTTGGGTCACCAAGAGTTCAGGTTTAAGGCATCATCATGTGGTTCAGGTTTTGAATCCCTAAAAAGGGAAATTTTGTTCTGCTTGTGATGGGTAGTGAAGTCCAATTCGGCACAACAAAGCTTCATTGAGCTCTGGTTAGGGCATTCTCACTTGTTAAAAACTAAGAGCAGTCAAATTTTCATTTTGTTGCCTCTGATAAATTTTTATTAAAATTTCCTTACCTCCCCTTACCATTAATCCTAACAAAGTCACCTTGTCCAATTGGGACAACTGTCCATCCCCTTATCATCGATATAATAAAGTTTTCTAAAATCTTCTTTACCTCTCCTTCCCATTAATCCTAATCAACTCACCTCGTCCATTTGGTGCATGGATAGATCATCTTTGGAAATGTTTTGATCATTGGAAATGGTTTTTTTCCTCATCTTATCTTCTTTTGGAGCTACATTCAATTGTTCATAATGTAAAAATATCTTATTTTATTTTTTTTCTATTACCCAGACTCACTCTTTCAGAGTTTGTTGATCTATAAGAATGATTAATCCAGTTGCTCATTTTTGGCATCACAATGCTCATGGTTTTGTTGTTATATCATTATAGAGTTTGGATTGGACTATAAGAATGAAGCTTTTCTTTAGAGAAGTATAAGGGTGAAGCTTAAACTTCTCAGCAATGCTGACTTCTTTCGAACAGGCTGTTTCATAATTATTCTACTTTAGAACCTACAAAGCGTGCTGATCTTATGATTTGTGATTCTTAAACAAATTTGCAGGCTTTGGTTTCTTCTTCCTGTTCATCTGTAATCCCGGTTGAGCAAACCTTCAAATATACTTTTCTGAAGAAGCTGCAGTTCTCACCTTCTTATCTTATGAACATTATGTGTGAAAGAAGTCAATAAAACTGTTTTAAGCTAATATGTGAAACCTTTACAGACTGGGCAAACAGTTGCAATAAAGAAGATTCGACTTGGAAAGTACAAGGAAGGTGTAAACTTCACTGCACTTAGGGAGATTAAATTGCTTAAAGAGCTCAAGGATCCAAATATAATTGAATTAATTGATGCCTTCCCTCACAAGGGTAATTTGCATCTTGTATTTGAGTTTATGGAGAGCGACTTGGAAGCTGTCATTCGCGACAGAAACATTGTCTTGTCTCCAGCTGACGTCAAATCATATCTCCAAATGACACTAAAAGGACTTGCATACTGCCACAAAAAATGGGTTGTACACAGGTACTTTGTCTTTTTCTGCGTTTTTTATCTTTTTTTCTTATATCCTGATCCAAGTGTGCTAATGTATCAGGGATATGAAACCGAACAACCTACTTATTGCTTCTGATGGACAGCTTAAGCTTGCAGACTTCGGTTTGGCACGCATCTTTGGAAGTCCAGATCGCAAGTTCACTCACCAGGTTTTGTTTAATTCAATATATTCTTCTAATTGTTTAGATAATAAATTGCAAGATATTTATATGTAATTAACTTATATCAATTTGTTGGGACATTTATATGAGGACTTGAGATAAATATATTAATATGGAAGGTTAAGAGATGAAGCAGGAATCCTTTTTTTTGTATAAGTATGCTACCAGATAATGGTATTTTAAATGTTTGTTTTTAAGCATGAATAGTAAAACATCATCTTTTGACATATGTGCTGACAGGTTTCAGCATGCTTATTATCTGAGACAAATGCATAGCATATTTCATTTAGACAAGTTTCTTTTTGTGGGGTCAGAGTTGATTATATATCATATAGACATGCATTTTAAGTTTCTGACAGGAGAATACGTCGTGACCTTTGTCAATCTACTTTGAGTTTTAGGATTTGACAATTGACAATCACGAAGTTTGACAAGGAACTACAATTTTATGCTAATATGCAGTTGTGTGCATCATATGTGACACCAACGTACTTCCCCACTGTGCATATTCAGATAAATTACTAGTTCACTGCAATCATTATTTTCCCATGGTTTCATGATATGCATGGCAAATCAACTAGATTTACTTGGATGCTTATGGAACTTCAAATTTGAAGAACTTGTCAATCAATTTGTTAGACTTTTTGTTTGGTTCCTTTGTCATCAAGTTCTTATGAAGTGGTAACTACATTCCCTGTGACGCCTGCCTTCCTTGTCCCCTCTGAGTGATGACAAGGAATTTAAATTGCTGTAGTACTTGCATGATCTGTCTTCAACCATGATGCATGTAGAGTCCCCGACATCTTGGTCTCATGTGATTCCCTCTGCATGTGTTGTTCACTTATCAAATGTGCTAGCATCAACTCTATATCTCTTGAAACTTGTGCATGAGTTCTCTTGGGCTCAGATATGTCTGAGTTCAATATGGAGTTACTGAATCTTTGAACTCAGGACCAGGCTCTGCGACTATGTTTGCTGTCCAGGTGGGACACCGACTTCTTTTTCTTGTATCACATGCCTGGGAGCCACTCAAAGGCATGGCATCTGTGATTTAGTAATATAACTGTCATCTCATCATTATGGATCTATATGGGGTTTAGGTACTGGAATAGTGTAAATAAAGGGGAGCCTATGAGAATCTAAGTCGGTATTTGTTTCTTTTTGTTTTTTTATTTCCAGTTCTAGCAAGAAAGATAGATTCTCTTAGCTTAGTCCTTTGAGGCTTGTCTTCCTTGAATTAGAGAATTGCCTATTAAGAGACATATTCGTGACATTTTTGTACTAGAGCCAGGCTCGATTAACTGGCTTCAAGCCTTCAACAATGACGATTCTTGTTGTCAACCGTAACTTGAAAGCAAATCCGAGCACATCTTGTTCATGATATGTATTCCATGTCTCCCTGTTGGAATGAAATGTGTCTGCTAATAATGTCATAATTTGTTCATTTTCTCACAACCTGAGCCCAGATCTCTTTGCGTATGCTGTTCATTTTTTCACAACCTTCACTAGAAGGAAACATAAACTTAATCTAAGAAACCCTTACACTTTGTAGGTTTTTGCCCGTTGGTACAGAGCACCCGAGCTATTGTATGGGGCCAAGCAATATGGAGCAGGGGTGGATGTGTGGGCTGCAGGTTGTATATTCGCTGAACTTCTACTTAGACGACCCTTTCTGCAGGTCTGGCTAGCTTCATTCTTGATTTTACCCTAATATCTGAATAGAAATTCTTTTTAGGTACTTCTGTTCTGTCAGATATAGCTACAAGTGTATTATTTTGCATAGTTCTTGGTTAGATATAAATCTGAGACTCTTTTTCTCTCCATACAAATATCATAGAATGGTGAAATTTCTTGAACCTTTTGTTTCTAGTCATTTGCTGAAATTCCTTTAGTGTTGCATTTCATATTCTTGAAAGGAATAGGTGAGGATGATCTTATCCTGTTTGCGTAAACATGAAAGAACCATGAAATCTGAAGAAAATCCAAATGACAAAGATGAACAATCAGATCATTAAAACCTACTACGTAACCAAAACAAAGAGACTGACACAGAAATGGTTGGAAGCAAGAAGTGTGCATGCACTCACACACGAATAGCCCAGCACACAGTTAGAAAGAACAGATTAATGCAGGAATTTATAATGTCCCATGGTAGCAGCATCAGCATCGTCATCATCGATGAGCATGTCCAACAAGTGATCAAATAAGATAATACATCTTCAATTAATGTTATCTTATAGATGATTCAAAGAGGTTCGAAGCATTGGTCTGCTTCCAATATCCAAATTAACCATTCTCAAAATTGGCCTTTATTAAATATACAATGATATGATCTTTGTAAAATTTTAGTAGTCATCTTAGCGAACAACTATATTGATGGCTATGCAGAACACATTTTGAGGAAAGGATTCGTTAAGATTCTGAGCGAGTGCAGATTACTCATAATACAGTATTTGCTTTCAGGGTTCAAGTGATATCGACCAACTAGGAAAGATTTTTGCAGCTTTTGGGACTCCAAAGCCATCTCAATGGCCTGACATGGTGTTCCTTCCAGATTATGTTGAATACCAATATGTCCCTGCACCTCCATTGCGGACACTTTTTCCAATGGCCAGCGATGATGCCTTGGACTTATTGTCAAAGATGTTCACTTATGATCCAAAGGCAAGAATAACAGTGCAACAGGCTTTAGAGCACAGGTGCTTGTTGTGCAAGTATTACAGCAGGATTACGAACAAATAAAGTTACGTATACTTCACTGAGATATTTTTTTTTTGTGTTGAAACCAGGTACTTCTCATCCGTACCTGCGCCAACAAAGCCATCTTTACTTCCAAGGCCGCCTCCGAAGGGCGAATCACAAAATCACAAGCCTTCAGACTTCATTTCACAGGATGGGCCTCTTGTTTTGTCTCCACAAAGGAAGCTGAGGAGGGTTACTCTCCATCAAGATGGGTTGGAAGGAAATGTATACCAACTGGATAAAGCTGGTGAGCATGTTAAAGAAGTCAGAAATATGGATGGAACTACTGGTCAGAGTGGTAGTATGCCAATGTCAATAGACTTGGGAGCTGTGTTTGGCTCACGGCCACCTCCTAGACCAACTTTGAATAGGTAATATTTGCTTCAAGCAAAGCATTTATTACATACCATATTAAAGGTAGCAGTTCTAGGAAATAATGATGCAGATGTTTCGCATCATAGTTTACCTGAAAATTCTATTTTCTTCTTGCACTCTAGTGTTTTACTTTGCTAAAAGATTATCATCTTTGCAGTGTCGATAGGTCACATTTGAAGAGAAAACTTGATCTGGATCCTGAATTTGACTACCACTAGCAATAGTAGACCGGCCTAGCGGCATTTGGAATAGTATGGTATTCAAGTTTGCACGTAATGAGTAGTAAGATAACTTCCGTTTCTATCAGATTTTGAACATTGGAGAGTGGCAGGACCCAACAGCCGCAGTGCAAGAGATGCAGTTGGGATCAGGGGCACTGTATTGACTCAGGCAATGGTTAATTCGGCAATCACAGGTTTACCTTGAGATGCAATTTCTTAATTAATCACGAAGAACAAGATAAGACAAGCTGCTTGACTCGTTTCAACTTGTAATCTTATTCAATCTATTTTTTCTTGTGGTGTATGATGATGGATCGACATTGCTGCCGGGACATCGGCTGCGATTAGATAATGTGCTGCAAGTGTAGCATACTTTTATGGTAAAAAATTAATCTGATGATTGGTATACAACTGTGGCATGTTTACAGGCATCTTTGAAGGCAACGTGTTTATTTCGGATCTTGTTACAGTCGACTTCTGTTGTTGATTGTTAATTTCTCATCCCCTAATAAGGTTTGTTAGGAAAAGTGTAGAAGAGTATGCATCAGTTCTCTCTTAGATTTAGACCAATCTCTTCAAAGATCATTTTGGACTCGTTTGATATGGTGTATGTGTGAGAACTTTTAGCCAAAAAAACATGCTCTACCTTCTCTTGGATTTGGATAACTTCAATATTTCAAGCAGTTCTCATACTATGAGAATTTGGGTTCTAAAGATATATTTGGCCTAGAAAAGAAGTTTCACTAATAAGGATTTAAAAACTCATAATTAAACATAAAATATGCATAAAATCCTTCCGAACAAACACCAAAAAGGGGATTGAAAATTTTGAAATCTCACAAAATATTTTCCTTTTTTTAAAAGCTATGATCTCTTTCTTTTCCTTTTCTTTTTTCTTTTTTTTTTCTCCTTTCTTCTTCTCCATTTGTTTGTAAAATGCATCAATGATATAAACATAATAGAAAGAAAAAAAAGTTCAAATATTTGCATACTTATCTACTATGCAGATTTATAAACAAAAAAACATTTTTGCGAAAAGGAATTCTGAATTCCTATTTATTAAGGCACAATTTATTAATAAAGACTGAAAATATATGAAAAGAAGAAAGAAAAAATGTCACAATTTTCAATAATTACTACAGGATTATAGTTAATCAATCATCATATGGTACCCACTAATTTTTAGGTGCTCTTTGTCACAACAGATTCAGCTACATGCTCAAACCTTTTTTAGGTATTGACCTAATACCTACCCAAAACTAAAATTAAAAGAATTAATAGAACAAGAAAAAGTAAAAAGAAAAAGAGAAGATGTCACAATTTTCCTCTATTACATATGACACCTAAAGAAAAAGGAAAACGACAGATGGATACATCACCTTTTTGAGATACACACTATACTTCAATGATTAAATGGCTTCCTTGGAATCCTTGTCAATCAACCTTCTGTGTTGCCTTGCATTAGTATAGCTAATCCCCTTTCTTCTAATCCTAATCCTATTCTTTATAGTTGCAACATAACTGGCAACTGACAAAAACAAAAGAAGAATTCTTCTCACAAATCATTCTCTTTGATGGCATGTGCAGCAGCTTGGAATGGACAAGAAACAGTACCTTTATTGGCTAAAGACTCCGATGGCTGAACTAACAATGACATCAAGCTTTTCTGAGCCCATAAAACTATCTATAGAACTCAGCACAACACCACCACCTCTTTACATCCACAGAAAGATTTCATGGTAAACAACTTTGCCGGCTAGATTTGCACTTTGTAAAGTCCGGCACTAAACAGCTTTAATGCCGGCTTGCCAACAATTATTATTATCATTATCCATGGAAAGTTTGCCGTGAAGTACACTTTCTATCAGTTTTCTCCTCCGGCTTTGACTTAATGTGTCTGGGTCTATAAATCGATTTTAGTTGATAGGAGGGAGCAAAGCTTAGGGACAGAGATAAGGATGGCGATAAGGGGAGGCTTCCTGTGCTCCTTGGCATGCCTCTTGTCCTCCATTGCTGTCACTGCAGCTCTGGGAAGGCAGGGTGATGCCCTCGACAAGCTCCGAAAGGGAGCTACTGTTACTTCGTCTTCCGACTTTGACACGTTCGCCTTCTCCGATCTTACGTCGAGATTGTACGCCGATTCCGGGTCGAAGGAGAACGACCGGATCGTCGAGCTGCCCGGCCAGCCTGCAGGAGTAGATTTCGTTCAGTACGGGGGTTATGTCACCGTCGACGATCGAAACGGACGAGCTCTGTTTTACTACTTTGCGGAGGCAGCGGGCAAACAGAGCAGCTCCAAGCCTCTGCTTCTCTGGCTTAATGGAGGTCTCCCATCGCCAGCTTCGTCATCTAGAACGAGCATCTCCATGATTTGGTTCCTGATTCCAATTGTCTTACCCTGCGCAGGTCCCGGGTGTTCGTCCTTCGGGATCGGGGCGATGCAGGAGTTAGGCCCCTTCCGCGTCATGAGCGATGGCAGAACTCTCTACAGGAATCCTTATGCTTGGAATTCAGGTAAGTGTTTCATGAATTCAGATGGTTCGTGAGTTGTGAAGTTGATGTGGATGTTGTTGTTGCAGTGGCTAATGTGTTGTTCCTGGAGAGCCCGGCGGGCGTCGGCTTCTCCTACTCGAACACCACCTCGGACTACAGCAAGAGCGGCGACAAGAAGACAGCAGAAGACGCGTTCGTCTTCCTGGTGAACTGGATGGAGAGGTTCCCGGAGTACAAAGGCCGGGACTTTTACATCGCAGGGGAGAGCTACGCCGGCCACTACGTGCCGCAGCTCGCCTACACCATTCTCCAGAACAAGAACCAGTCCGCCGCCGGAGCTGCCATCAACCTCAAAGGGATCGCGGTAACCTCAATTCCGCCCTCTCGAACGGCTTCTCCCTCTCCCTGCGCTTCATCATCTCACGCTGCTCCCTTTCGGTCGATGAAAGATCGGCAACGCGGTGATCAACGACGAGACCGACAGCAGAGGGATCTACGACTTCTTCTGGACGCACGCGCTGATCTCAGACGCCACCGTGGAGGCAATCCACAAGTACTGCAACTTCTCCCCCAACGCGGTGAAGGAACCCCAGCAGTGCCTTGACGCTGCGAGTGAGGCCGACAAGGTGTTCGAGGAGCTGGACATCTACAACATATACGCTCCCCTGTGCTTCTCATCCAATTTGACTTCCCCTCCAAAGAAGCCTTCGGTGCGTCTCTTCCAACTCCCCATCCCTTCTACTCGATTCCTCACATGTCTCTAATGCATGGAAGAGTTGCAGATCGAGGATTTCGATCCCTGTACGTCTATCTACGTCAACGCATACCTGAATGATCCGGAAGTACAGAAAGCTCTCCATGCTAACATCACAAGGCTCAACTACTCCTGGTCTTCCTGCAGGTGTGATGCTGTTGCACCATTTCATGCATGGAATTATTCTTGTTCTTGTTGTGATATCATCATCATCATGGAGTCTGAATCCATCATCCTGCATTCTCATTGGAAAAGTCCTGCAATAGAAATAGGTGATGAAGTCTCCTTCTTGGGTCAAGTCGTTGCAGAAGATGGTGTCTCCTTCTTCGGTCAAGGTCATCCATCGTCTCCTTTTCTTTCAACTGCCATCCATTAGTGCAGGGGATGTCACTTCAGGCTGTGGAATTTTGGGGTAAACTTGCACAATCATAGCAAGCTCAAGGATGAACCTTCTGGCCAGAAGTGCAGATGACAGAAATCTGGAGAGGGGAATCATCAGGTGAGAGATGGCCTCAAAATTAGGATTCCCTTGACCAACCTTAGGTCCTCGAACAGACTGTCAAAGACAATAATTGAACACCCACCTAATTAGGATTCCGTCTGCCCCATCTAATGGAATACTGCCCAACCTCTATATGTATGTATGTATTGACTTGGAGAGATGCTCAGCTCCACCAGCAAGATGAGAGCACAGCAGCCATGTGCTTCTCCATGCTCGTTGCTAATAAAGCTAGCATGGCCTACAAGCCAATCATAAACAACAGAGAGGATCGATGTACGCAAACTTATACGAGAAAGAAAGATAGATATTTCGATCACCCAAGATTAAGTAGGGAGAGTTTTTCCTAGTCATTATGTAGAAAGATGTGACGAAGAAGTCCAGCTGAATACGTCTCCCCCCCTTGGAGTTCATGTCTCACTTCATCATTGAACGAAGTGATGACTACTTTGGCACATGTGGACGTGGTTGGGAGGACTATGGTCTGATGAGAAAGAGATGGAAGGATGATTCATGTGGTGATGCGATGCCCCAACTCTTTTACAACCCAGTCATGTAGCACTCCTCTAAACAGTGCTGTCTTCCTATGGACTTTAGCTTGTACCACATTCTTCCTTGCACTTTGGGGAAGAGAAGAATAATGGCAGAAACACCAGGGGAGGGAGGAAACAGGACGAGCTATAGGTAGGGAGAGAAGAAGCTAAGACCCATCCCCATCTGATCATGAACTGAGAGATAGGAGCTCTGTCATGATTCAGGAGAGTTGCTTTTTGTTCTTGTCTTCCTTCCTCAGGGATTGTTTGTGCTGAATGATTCTTTGATGCTGGAATCCAAGAATGCTTGTCCTGCCTACAGGCAAATGCCAGAAGAGAGTTTACAAGGGGGCTAAAACAACTCAGTCAAAGAAGTTCAGCTTGAACAAAAAAAGTTAGGTCAGAATAGTTTGATTTTGATTATTTAAACATCAATCAATGATGATCATACAACAGTACTGCTGTGACATGTATCAACATGACGTCCTGTGATGTCAAATTGTTTCTTTCAAGGATGGATTTAGAAGTCATGATAAAAGGACAGGGCATGAACTATTGGGCAATGGAAGCTAGTTGCTTGCAAGAACAGTGCAAGTTGCAATCGATTTGAATTAGCAAGAAAAGAAGAGGAGAGAAGCAACAAGGATGTTTGATAATGATACTAGCAAGAAAAGAAGAGGAGAGACACAAATTGGTTTTCAAGAGAGAGACACATTTATCTCAAATTTTTTTATATATTTTTCACCTAAAATATCTCAATTTTGTTTATTCCTACTCCCCATCATGCATGGGAAAAATAAGATTGCAAACAAATGCCTTTTATTCTCACAGGTCGTATGCATATAAAATGTTGACTTCTTAATTTCTTTAATGATTTACTTTCATGTATGTTATATATTTCATTTCATGAGCTTATATTTTCCAACCCCTTTGCAGCTACCTACAGTTTCCATGATATTAAGCCTTGATTGATGTCATGTCATGTGTCCTAATGGTGACTTCTCAAACATTTCTATTTACTTATGTGATCAAACTTGCTGATGCAGCCGTGTAATATCGAATTGGGTGGACAGTCCTTCTACAATCCTACCAATAATTCAGCAAATTCTAGCTCATGGTGTACAGATTTTGGTGTACAGGTAAATTTTTTTTACCTTATTTGAGATCTTCTTCAACATGAGAATATTTTGCCATAAATTTCTTAATGAGTGATCATGGCAAATGAAAAATGCAGTGGTGATACTGATGGTAGAGTTCCTGTTACTTCCACAAGATACTCTCTCAATGTACTAAATCTTCCAATCAAGTCCCCATGGAGATCTTGGACAATCAACTCTGAGGTAATACACAATCTCAACTCTAGTAAATAATGTCTTTTTGTTGGTCTAAAATGAGAAGCCAAATATAGCCTCTGTTACTTCCATATTTTCTTTTCTTTACCAAAAATAAATACTAATCTGATGTCAATTTGTGTATGAATAGGTTGGTGGGTACACAGTGGTGTATGATAGGAATTTGACATTTGCCACAGTAAGAGGAGCAGGGCATGAGGTTCCAAGTTATCAGCCAGCTCGAGCACTGGTGCTCATCGACAGTTTTCTTCATGGACTGCAGCTTCCAGCCTGAAGGACACAAGAACTTGACACTATGCAATCTAGGAATAAAATGATTGTGAGGACAAGGATCCTTGCACTACTACTAAGTAGTTGAATTCCACCAATATAGAAACACTCGATAAACATGCAGGATTTATCATTGCATAATCTTTCTCCTACACTCTCTCCTCTCTCAGTGATGTGTTTGATTGCAAGTTTACTATCAATAATTCATAGTCCTGCAGTAGCAAAATGTTTACTCTGTTAGTGAACACCAATGGGATGACACTTCCAACTATTATATATTGGCATTATGAGTACAATCCTATACCATTACAGACATTTAATCTGAAGGAACATGTGCATATTACTCTTGTTCTAAATCTAGATGAAGATGTAGAGACAATTGCTACCTTTTCTAATTTCTTGCCAAAGTTCAATTAATTGCTCTGATAGTGATTCACATATATAAGCAGCTACTGGGCAAGATGAACACAGAGAACAGACATATTTGGTTCTTAGATTAAGAGAACTTGTAGTTTTTGTTTGCTTCATGCCTTTACCAATTATGTATGCCTCCTTTTTTTGTGAAATATTATTGTGACTGAAACTAAGATATTATTGCAGCTCAATCAGAAGCCAATTAGTAGTGCTGAAAGTTATTTGCTGAGATCAAAACCAAATTATTGATACCTTTGCATATCACTTTCAAGTGGCATTTTTCTCATGTGTTGTAGTTTGTGTTTCTATGTACATATAACAGTTAAATGATATGAAATATGACTAAGCAACATTACTACATGATTCAGTGGCGAGTGACACTGTTCCTCTGACTGCAGATTTCTCAGCATCAGCATTATGTTCACAACAGTGGCAACCCACCACAAAGCCATGTCATGCTAATATCTAATGGAAATGACTGAAAACCCTTGATGTTATTTCTAGGGACTATTTTTGAACAGAGGGCAGAATTATCATGTCAACCCACAACTAGATTTCTCGATGCTCAAGAATGGAAGACGACACTCATCACAGTGCATGCACGTACTCCATCGAATAATACATGGCTTAGAAGGATAAGACGGTGAATGAGAAGACCATACGTACCTTTTTATCTTTAGCATCACTGATTCCTTTGTAATGAAAAGGAATATGTAATGATGCTATCTAACTTTTGGCTAAATAACAATGTTTGTGGGAAACAGTGTCAGCAATGGTGAGAGTTCTCAGTGCAACACAAAGATCATTGCACTTTTCCTGCTCGCAGAGATGAGTGGGATCAGAAGGAACTCCACTAAAACCCTAATGCAGCGGTGGACGAACTAGTCTTCGATTCATCGATGACTATAGCTTCGACTTCTACTTCCATGTGTAAGTTCGTCATGTACGTCCACTTCTACTTCGTGACAACTGCGTGGAATTCTCATCTCTCTACTGCCTTAAGATCTACTTACCGGATTGATTCAACATCTATGATAAAAATCTTCATGCATAGGAGAACACAGCAAAGACCGTGCTAAATGATGATTTTGATGGAGGTGCAGGTGTTCATCCTTTAACGACGTGATCCGGACTGCAAGTTCTACCACAACCTTGTTACAGGAAGAAAATTCTGCTAGATGTGATCAGTAGAAACCCAATACTCAAGTAGCATAAGAACTCGTAACAGCAGGAGCTCATTCTTCTAGGTTTCTTATGTGAAGCTTCTGCTTCTTCAAGCATGAGGTTGCTTCTCTTAGGAAAAGCGTGATATTGTTTTGCACAGAGACAAAAGCCACCGCATTACCGACATCGTTTCTTAGGAAGAGGCAAGAAGAAGTGGATGTCTACATCTAGATAGCACAGAGATTGCTTCGTAGATGATGCACTGAGAACAGAGTTCCCCACATCAACTTTGTCGAGCACTTATCAAACGTTCCCATTCTTTAGCACAAAGTTAAGACGGTATTATACGTTTGAAATGATATTTTGGTCAAATGCAAGGAATTTGAGGACACTAATTAAAGATAAATTGACTGGATATTTGATGCAAACAGGCCCCCAAGTCTTATTTTGTAGTGTCTGCGAAGAAAACAATTCCAAAAGCATTATGATGTCTTGGGAGTGACTCTTTGCATGGGGTATAAAGAGGGAAGACTACCCCTTCTGTTACTTGTACTCGTCGGCGATCTCAAGAAGGAGATTGCAGAGCTCTCTGGGCTTTGACAGCATCACCATGTGATCGGCGCCGTCGATCTCCTTCACCTCTGCGCCCGGGCAACGCTTGATCATCCAACGCTGGTAGTCTTCCACCATCGCCTTGTCCTGCTTACACACGATGAACGCTCGTCTCACCGAGCCGTAGTTCGCCTCCGTGAGGACCATGTTGTTGCTCAGATCATCTAAGAAGAAGCTCCCGGGTCTCAGCAAGACGGTAGCCAGCTCTATGTCCTGCATGCAGATCAAACGCCTTGAAGAAAACTCACATGGAAGATAAGAGGTAGAAGAAGGTTGAGACCTCCCTAGATGCTACCTCTGGTGGGGTGAGCTGATACAATCTGGTCGACAGATAGTTGCGGCCGAAAGCCAGCGAGAAGCCTCGTTGGTCATCGCTGATTTCCACAGTGGAATCCATATAGGCTTCGAGCGGATGCCCCTTGGAGAACTGCAGGTATCAGATGACAGTGAGATCCACTCTAGCGTCAGAAACAACAGTGACATGTGTCAACTTGTACCTCTTCTGTAATGCTCGCCACTGAATTGCCGGGGCTGGGCATGAGTGCGGTGGCGAAGACAGCAACCAGAATCTTCTCAGGGAATTTCTCCATGGCGAGACCCAAGCTAACTCCGCCGTAGCTGTGTCCCACGAGCACCACGCGCTCATGGGGAGGGACGGCGGCCATCAGCTCCATCAGTGGCCGGGAATAGTCTGCAAAAGACTCGAGCTCGTCGAGGCGCTGCGGGTGGACTCCGCTGGCGGCGAGGTCGAGGGTGGTGACTCGATGGCCGGCTAGCCTCAGCAGCACCACCAGCTTGTACCAGCACCACGCGCCATGGCCGATCCCATGGACAAGAACGAAGTGCTTACGTGTTGTTGCCCCCTCCATATATCGATCTCTTCCTCTCACACTCTTCGAACTCTGGTGATGCGTGTTGGTGCTCTTGCACTCATATATAAAGGCCCTCACGGCCACTGTCTTGGAGAGCTCAAACGTGGCGGCTCAGTGGTTTGAAGCACACCACTGGCGTTCTCATTTGTTCACTTTGGTGGGGGCAGCTGACCATCACAAAAATTTGGGGTGGCCAATGGAAAGACCAACTTTTGTGATATGCCAAACAAATTGTCTTCGAAGAATTCTAACATATCTTTTATGGAAAGTAAGATGAACGTACTACGACGACAAGTTTACTATTCTAGTAATAAAAAATTTTATCTTTCAACAACACGCCAAACATATCGATGTTCAACACCATTTTCTCCATGAGTCGATAAATAAAAGAGAAATCAATTGCACTATCGTAATACCGAAGACCAACTCATTGATATCTTTACTAAAGCTTTGATGAATTTTTCTTTTATTTTTTCCTAAAGATATAATTTAAAATTACAATCATTTTGAATTAAGAGGACGTGATGTAATTAAGCAAGTAGATGAGTGGGGAGTCAAAGAATGTGTGGTAATCGCATGCGACGTGGGATGTAACTTCTTCCCTTTCGCCTCTGCGGTGCTAATGGATGAGATAGCATTGCAGATCGATTGAAGTGCTCCTAAAAACAGTACTCCATCTGCTATCTTCTCAAGATTCCGACGGTGCATTTCTCGAACCACCGCCTTCACACTAAGTTTTGGTTCATTCTGCCGTAAAACGTCAAAGACTTCGATGATACATATCCATCCACATGTAAAGAACGTAAGGTTGGAAGTCATTGATTAGAATAATGTAGCCGTGGTCTTCAATTGTTTTAAATAGCATGTTTTGGGTGCATGAACCCGTAGCTTTCGGATGTTCTCGTGGGGGTTTTGAAGGGCCCTGTCATCTGCGTTTTGCATGCTCATGGAAAGAAAAGGACTGAGAACCTAACTAGTCGTCTTCGTTGCAACGAAGTAATCACCATCCTTTATCATGCATGTGGAAGAAAATGATGAGACTTTCTATTCCTGTGCAAATTATAATGTGTAATGGAAACCATGGCAAGTAACGTATCAACACTTGGGAGTTGATCGACCATGTTTAAAGAGCAATCGGATAACATCGACGTGATGACAAACCAAGATGTGATGACTCTGGTCGGCGGTCAGCGGCTGAGCTGTCACTGCCTACGTTCCAAAAGCAGTGCTTTGAACTCTTCACACCTGTTTTAGGAGATGACTCGAATGGGAAAAGTCAAAGGGTACAAAAACATATAATTATCTCACGTGAATATACCAACTTTTATCTTTTATCATGATCGATTCGATTTTTAGATAATTTTAAAGCTAAGAATTGTCATAAAAAATTTTTACTTCACATACCTTTCTTCTATTATATTTTTGAACCAAATAGTTTAGAATGCATATGTTAATATGGGTTGCTTCTTAGAAGATCATGAAATCACTTAAGATGTGAAGAAAAAAATATATGTAGATGTGCTCTTTCCAATATTAAGATTATTTGCATAATCTTTGTTAGTAAATCTAATCAAACAAAAAAATTTCTATCATAAAAAATTCAAAATCATGAGTTTTATTTAAATAATTTAAAATTTTATTTGTTGCTTGAAGATGAACTTCTGTTGGATTCTCCATGTATTTGCTGATTAGGTTGATTTCATACATAATATCTTATTTAATTATAATCAGGCATATAAGATTTTCCACAATCAGCCTATAAAAAGTACTATAAACCTTCTTACCACTGCCAGCTTAATTAAATTTTAAGTGTATTTTTACTAGAGTGCTAATAGTTTTGTTTTTATCTATCTATTTTAAACTTTTCAAGGATCTCCCCAGTATGTACCTTTTTTAAGAAATAAAATTTCTACATCTTTTTACTCAACTTTAATTCCAAGATAATGTTTCATCAAACCAAAGTCAATTATATCAAATTCTTTCTTAATTCATAAACCACGTTAGCATCATTATCGGTATACATAAAATCATCCACTTACAAGCAAATAATTAATATCCTCCATGTCCTTTTTGTTGAATCTCGAATTTTGATGATGAAGTCAATTATCATTTGTTATCTAATCCATATATTGAGATAAGTGTACAGGATTAACTACGATGGAAGAAAGACATGCAGTAGGAGTTACGTCAGAGTCAAGACCATGATCAGTTGGGGGTTTGAGAGTTCAACGGAAGTCCGGACGGTCGTCGGAGGTTCTACGAGAACAAATCCGAGAAGTCTAAGAGCTTACCAAAGATGCTCATCGGAACTCATCAAGTGGATCATCGCAAGTCCAAGAGTTGGCCGGAAGTCCGATGGAGCATCGCCGAAGGTTCGTCGGATGTTCGCCAGAAGTTCGTCGGAAGCTCACTGGAAGAAACGATTGACGCACCGGAGCAAGTTGCAGTAAATGTCTTAAAGAAATATCGTAGTTAGCACGTAGATTAAGCTAGGAATAGGAGGTGATCCCATTAACTTAATTTAGGGGCAATTGGGCCTTTGACAGACCCAAATTGGGCCGAATGGATCAGCCCATTCGGACCCAGATTTCTTGGTCGACGGTGGCACCGCCCAAGAGCTCAGTCTCCCAGGAAATCTGGGCGGTGCAACCGCCTAGGTCAGGTGGTGGCACCGCCTGGGCTTAGTCTCCGAGCGAGATTGGGCGGTGGCACCGCTAGAGCTCGGTCTCCGAGCTCTGTCAGGTGGGTGTATCGCCCCAGTCAGGAGGTACTACCGCCAGGACCCCGGAAATCCGAGAAAAAATATTTTTAAGCTCCAAATTCAAACCAATTTGGGGCCTATATATACCCCACCCTTTCCTGCATGAAAGGGCACCGAAAATCTAATCTTGCTCTGTAATTTTTAGAGCTCAAAAGTATTGTAAAGGCTTGAAGTTCTCCTCCCTCTTTTCTTCCGAGTTTTGATCTTTCAAGAGAGGGGAGAAAATTCTGTAAGGGTTGTTTCCTAAGCCTGTCAAAAGGAGTGAAACTGTAAAAGGATGGTTGGCCTTTGCCTATTGAAGGAAGGCCTCTAGTGGACGTCGGTGACCTTATCGGAGGAGGAAGCCAAAAGTGGATGTAGGTCAAGATTGACCGAACCACTCTAAATCTCACTTCGCCTAATCTAAGTTAAAGCAACTTCGGAATCGACTTCCATATCAAAATCGCTTTTATCGTACGAACGTCGTATTTCGATTTCCAATTACATTTTGTTCTCTATCTTAACTACAAATTGTCTCTATATCTTTACTTTAACCGCATCTCGCTTGATCACAAGTTAAAGTGATTTTAGAATCGGTTTTCTTACCGAAATCATTTTTATCATACAAACATCGTTTTAAATCGCTCTTGATCTTTAACACTTTTATATTTTATAAATCAAGTATATTAATAATACGAATATTTTTTAAATCCATGTGCCTCGAACTCAGGTGATGCGTGTTGGTGCTCTCGAACTCATAAATAGAGGCCCTTCGCAATCACTATCTTGTAGAGATTAAACGCAGTGGCTGAGAGGTATGATTCATGCTGCGCGCGTCTTTGTCCACTCACCTGTAGACACCTTTATTATTAGATTCGGAGTTATCGATGGAGAAGGAAGAAGTCTACAAGACCAAAAATGACAACTTTGACTTCTTATATATATATATATATATATATATATATAGAGAGAGAGAGAGAGAGAGAGAGAGACAACAATAAGAATAAGTAATTTAAACTTTAATTTAACTTACGTAA